ACCGGGCTGGGGACGGGAGCCTTATTCAGCGAGCGCTTTAGGCCGGCTCCCCTGCGCAGACAGCGTAAAGCCAGCAGCTTCCCCTTGCGTGCGCTGCGAGTCTCTCTCGGGCTAAGGCTCCGGCCCCGCCTCCCTTGCTCTTGCCTGAGTCTCCCATTGGCCAGCTGGTGCGTCACTCTCAGGCTGGACCCATCTCGCGCTCCCCATTCATGCAGTTTGGTTGCGTGTTGGTGTATTTTACTGTTTGCAATAAAGAGGGGGGGATTTTTTTTTTGTTCAGTTTCTGCTGCAATTAACTCTTGGTCCCTTATAAATTTTTTTGGCAATTTTGCAGAACGGTTGAAACAGTTTTTTGTTTTGTGATTGCATTTATTTTTTAATAGATCTCTTATCTATTTTGCAATCAACTATTAAGGTGCAACTATGCCCAAAAGAAAGGTAAGTACAAAAATAGGGGGGGAGAGAAATGGGGAATGAAGGGGAGAGATTAGGGGAGCGTTTGCAAAAATATCTATAATTTATGCGTGTGTATGTAGAGTTTTTGCATATTAATTTTTTGTGCATGTCCTAAAGTGGAGCTGGAACTGAAGGGCGATTATTAGAATGTGCGGTCGGGCTCATCTGTGGGAGCAGGGGAGCGTCTGAGTTCACTTTGGGCTGTTTTGTTTGCAAGGAGAAGGCTAAGCAGTGTCTCCATGCTGGATTACAAACAGCCATAGTGCTGCTGCTGCCCCTATGGAGAATACTGGCAGGCAGAGCTAGCCACGGAAGGCTGTGCTTCTCCAAGCGCCCCGAAAAGCGCACGGCTGGACAGCCAGAACCTTCCCATTAAGCGCCGGGGGCATTTTAGTGTTGATTGGGCCATTGCCTGGGAGAATTTGAGTCTAAACGGTGCCTCTTTCTCCTGCGTTTGCCTTTGTTCTCCCTTTTTTTCTCTCCCACTTCTTGTCATACCAGATGGTTGTGCAATGGTAATTTGGAGCCATTAGGCGGCGCAGAGTTTGAAACTGTCCTTGAAGGGAAGAGGGGCTGGGAAGGATTCACAACCAGAATTAGTAACTTTGGCTCTGCTCAGCAGCTGGTCTTTCCTAGCTCGCTCTTCAGTAAGCCCAGAACAGTTTGCAAAGGGGCAGCCTGCCCCGTGAAATTCCAGCTGCTAAAATGTTGCTGCCTAGCAGACGCCAGTACAGCTTTGCCTGGGTGTGCATTTTAAGGGTCAAACACTTGGTTATCTCAGCATCTCCCCTTCATTTATCTGTGTTGCATGTTTGCATTTTGAAGGCATTCTGCTATTAAGTGACGACACGGGCATTTCCTGCCCTCTGAGAAATACACTAGCTGGGGGCTCTTATTTCCCTGGGTGTGCTGGAATTGGGTGTAGCCTGTGCTGCAATGTCTGAAACGCCTCCCTTCCTCCCACTAATCCTGAGGGCACTAAAGCAGGTCCCCATCCATCCAACTGCTGCTGTCTCTTCCCCCTAGTGTAAGTGAGATGCCTCTGGGCGAAGCTAGTACAGCCTTGTCCTTGCATAACGCTGACAACGACCTTGTTGTTGCAGGTAATTTGGCGGGAACTTTTTAAATGTGGGGACGCTTTGACGCAATGACGTTAAACAAAAGTGGGAGTCCGAGGCATTCTGGGACTTGTAGTCTTTTGTCTGGGAACTTTGAAGTGAGCTTAGGCTCTTGCACTGATCTGACTTGTAAGCACAGCTGCACATTTTTAGCTGTGGGAAGGGGGAGGGGTGGAGGAGAAGTTACACAATTTTTTTTTTTTTTGCTTGATCACTTTGCAAACTTTATTTACTGCCAGGGATAGTATGACTAAAAAGTGCACAAGGTAGAAGGGCAATGAGAAGAGCTGGTAATATGAGAAACTGCAAGGATATGAAACCAAGGAGAGCTGTTTTAACTGGTGAACTAAGACATGAAGATAAAATTGACTGTGATATATTTGAAATTTGTGAGTTTACTTTTTAGTAGGTCTCCCCATGCTGCATGTAGACTTTTATTTAGAGAAAATGGCATGTTAGTATTTTCCAACCTCACACTGCAAATAGGTCCAGCATTAATTCCATTTTTACAGACTTTCTTATTCCAGTCACTGCTATGATAATTTTCAAATGCCTGTTTGCTAGCACTTGGCCTAATTTCCCCTTCATGACTGTAAAGAATGCAAATCTTTTATGTTTTCCTCTTTTAATTTTTTTATGTAGGCTGCAGCTGAAGGCGAGGTGAAGGAGGAGGTAGGTTTATAAAATATTAATAAAGCAAACTTATTTCTCTCAGAATTTGTGTGGTGGTAAACAGTTTAAAACAGTGATCACCAACAGGTAGCTCACGATCGACTGGTTGATCCTGGAGCTTCTGACAGTCGATCGTGATCTCCGTCTGCTAAAAATCTGACGGCACAGGAGGGCTAAGGCAGGCTCCCTGCCTGCCCTGGCCCCATGCCGGGTTCTTGGGAGCAGCTAGCATGCCCCTGTGGCCCCAGGGGCGGGGGATTTGTCTCCGCGCTGTTCCTGTCTGAAAGCACTGCCACCGCAGCTCCCATTGGCCAGGAACGGGGAACTGCAGCCAATGGGAGCTGTGGGGTGGTGCTTGCAGGGAGGGGCAGCATGCGGAGCCACATGCCCCCCTCCAGGGGCTGCAGGGGCGTGCTGGCTGCTTCCGGGAGCGGCATGGGCCAGGGCAGGCAGGGAGCCTGCCTTATCCCCACTGCACTGCCGACTGGGAGCCGCCTGAGGTGAGTGCCACCTGGCGGGAGCCCGTACCCCTCCCACATCCCAGCCCTGAGCCCCCTCCCAGAGCCAGCACCCCATACTCCCTCCTGCACCCCAACTCCCTGCCCCAGCCCTGAATCCCCTCCCAGAGCCAACACCCTATAACCCCTCCTCCACCCGAACACTCTGCCTCAGCCCAAAGCCCCCTCCTGCACCCAAACTCCCTCCCAGAGCTTGCACCCCCCTCCTGCACACCAACCTCCTGCCCCAGGCTCATTGCGGAGCCCCCTCCCACACTCCAAACCCTCAGCCCCAGCCCAGAGCCTGCACCCCAACCCCTTGCTCCAGCACGGTAAAAGTGAGTGAGGGTGGGGGAGAGCGAGCAAGGGAGGGAGAGGGGATGGAGTGAGCAGGGCAGGGCCTCGGAAGGGGCGGTGTAGATCCTGGGTTGCACTTAAATTCAAAAAGTGATCTTGTGCCTAAAAAGGTTAGAGACCACTGGTTTAAAAGGAATTACTAACTGAGGCCCCCCACTTCCATAGAGGTATCTGCTTGCACAGACCCTTGTCTGTGTGCACAGTCACATGGGTCTGTGCTAGCAGATTTTGATGCAGGTTCTGGAAGTCAGGAATGAAATATCAGGTGATATGGAACCCTGGGTCCAGTCCATTGGACTATAACATGAGAGACAATTTGGAGAATTCATTGCCTATCCCAGCTGTTAAGCTGTCTGAAACTGGGAGCTTCGATGAACTAACATGCAGAGATTTAGAGAGAGCTGTTCCTGGTACAGGAGAATTTGCAGTTCCACAGCCAAAGATCATCATTTTCAGGTTAAATCTGGTCCTTAGGCCACAGTCTTGGAGACTGCTTCTCTTAGGCACAGAGATCTAACTGTGCATAGGAGCTTACTGTATTGGGTCCTTGCTATTTACCTGGGTGTGGTGAAAAGGTGGGAAATGGTGAAAGAAATAGCAATTCTGTTTTGCTTTTTAAAACAAGGCAAACCCATTACATCCATAGCTCTATAAATGATCTTGGTATTTGTTTTAATGCTTCATTAAATAATGGTTGCATCAAATTATTTGATGATGATGATATAATTCTGAGAATGTATGGCTCTTTCTTTAAATTTTAGTGACACCTCTTTCTTTTATGCAGCCAAAAAGAAGGTCAGCTAGATTATCAGCTGTGAGTATCTTTTTTTAAAATTGAATTTGTGATGTATGTGATGATGACAATTCAGGAAGATTGGAGTATGAAGAATCTCATGCTGATGAGCAGAGTATAGCTATATAGGTAGATATGTGTTCACACTTATATTTAAAAATAAAACTTGTACTCCATGCTTCCATGGCTTGTGTACCAACATACTACTGAATCTATTTGCTGATTTTACATGTGAGATAAAGCCACTATGCTGGTTTGACATAAAAAACATCATATTCAGGAATGGCTGGATCCTGCAATCCTTACTCACATGTATAGTCCCATTGATTTCAGCAGCACAGCTCTTGGGAACAAGAACGCAGATTGGGGGCCCAAGATCTACAAATACCAAAGAGTTTGAAGATAGGAAAGTTTAGGGCAAAGCCAAAGTACTATATAAGCCCAGTCCTGTAAGTGCTCTATGCCTGGGAGTCTTTTTCCTTGTGCAGAACACTCAAAGGATTGGGATCAATGTATGCTACCAAGGAAATTATTACAGGAAACAAAGTAAATGAATGCTGCCATATTGGTGAAAAGTTGCATCTCATTTTGGTAAAACAGAAGATACCTATGCATACCAGGAACCCTCTGCAAAGGATAGGGGTAAACGTCAACTCAGACAGCAAGAGACTTGAAAAAAGTTTAGTGTCCATTTCCACATCCTGTGGATCTTTACTTAAGATGCTGTCACATGTGTAGTAGTGCAGGACTCTCATCTCTCCCTACACAGTACATGTACTTATTAAATATTTTAGCCATAACCACTGCCACATACTTCATTTTTTCCTCATGTATCTGAGTGAAATGACACATACTAATTTATATATCTCAGTCTTGTACATGATTATGGTTCATATTCTTTTCTGGTCCTTTATACACAGGGCCTGCATGTATGCCTTTATTATATTTTAAATTTGCATACGGAGTAAGTATGTTGAGGTTGTTAATAAGACCACTGTAGTGCTCTTCAGGTGGTATATTTCTTATTTTACTGTATGCTTTTTTGTACAGAAACCTGCTCCACCTAAACCGGAGCCAAAGCCCAAAAAGGCAGCACCTAAGGTAAATATTTAAGACCTCTTTAATACAGCGGTTTTCTTTTTCAAAATGTATTTATAGGAATAAAGTGCATAGCTAGTCAACTAGCTTTTTAATATTTTTAATGAGATTATGTATTTTGCCCAGTTAGAGGAATCTCCATCAATATCTTAGAAATTACAGATGGCAAAGAGCTATTGAGTGTTCTTTTTTGTCCTACTGCCAGTGCAGGAACATTCCCTGTGGTAAATTCTTGAGTGATTTGTCTGATGAAATTTTAAACAAAGTGTGATGATTCTTTCACTGCTTGCCATGGGAGACTATTCAAAGCATCATTCTCCTAACAATGTGTGTGGAATAGAGACCACAGAGCCATAATTGTAGGCAGTGCTGGTAGCTATGCCTATAAGTAAGTGTGTTTTACATTTTACATAATAAGGCCCTGTTTTCAGTTGCTTATTAATTTGTCAGACTTTAACCATTAGGATTAAAATTTTCCATTCTTTATCTCCTTCTCAGGCTAGATTTTTTTTTAAATGTTCAGCAAAAATACCTTTTCTGAGAATGAAGTTAGCAAAACTACCTATTTTTTTACTGATTTTTTTAATATATTAAGTTTCCAACAATTTATTTAAAGCTCCTTGATGCTTTAGAGCAGGAACTCAAAATTTGGCAGGGGATAGTTGTGGGATCAAAGAAGTGTCTTTTGTTGACCTGTTGAAAATTCACCCAGATGTGGCCAAATTATAGGCCTCTGAGCATTACCATTTGCACATTCTCAGCAGAGCAATGTTAGAGGCTTCCTGCTAAAATATCTGAAAAATCCAACTGTCTGAACACGCTCTGCGACTCACAACTCCCTTTGTGGCTCTGAATGGATACCCAAGCAAAGCAGCAGCTGCAAAATATCCTTTACCCTATGGGAAGGAGTGCTAGGATGAAAGCCAGGAGATCATGAGTTCTGCTTCCACTTTCTGATGTTTATAATGCACTCTTAACAGCCTTTATTATTAAACCAGGGCTCATACACCTTAAAGGACGGCAACTATCATTCTCCCTCCCCATTTTACATTTGAAGTAACTGAAAGGTTGCACAAAGTCACTTCAGGGACAGCTGGGAATAGAACATAGGTCTCTAATATGGCAGACCCAAGTCTCATCCACTTAGGCACCGGGCCTTTCAGAACAAAGGTTACAAATCTTCATACTTAGTTCTACAGTTGAGCCAGTAGACCGCAATCCAGAGCCAGGAACAGAACTTAGGAAGCTTGAGACTGAGCATTCCTCTCCTGTCTTGCAAATAGACATGCGCAAGTCACTAGCAAAGTGTGATTGGCTATAGTGGCTAATCTACATAGAAGACGAGAACCTACTGCTACCATGAGTTTCCCTTTTAGCTGTTTTGTGGGTCAAAAGGTCCTGGGTTCAGACTCCGCTGCTGACTCGTGCAGAAATCACTGTGGTGCCTCACGCTGCACTTGGTTTTTTTCAATTTGCTTTTTTAAAAACCTAGGAAACTACAAACAAAAAACTGTTAATAGAATGTTAGTTGCAAAATTAATCCTTCAACAGTTAGGAAATATCACAATTAAAGTCGACTGTCCATAAGTACAGGTTTCAGAGTAGCAGCTGTGTTAGTCTGTATCCGCAAAAAGAACTGGAGTACTTGTGGCACCTTAGAGACTAACAAATTTATTAGAGCATAAGCTTTCGTGGACTACAGCCCACTTCTTCGGATGCATATAGAATGGAACATATATTGAGGAGATATATATATATACACACACATACAGAGAGCATGAACAGGTGGGAGTTGTCTTACCAACTCTGAGAGGCCAATTAAGTAAGTGGGAAAAAAAACTTTTGAAGTGATAATCAAGATAGCCCAGTACAGACAGTTTGGTAAGAAGTGTGAGAGTACTTACAAGGGGAGATAGATTCAATGTTTGTAATGGCTCAGCCATTCCCAGTCCTAAGTTGATCGTATCTAGTTTGCATCTCAATTCCAGCTCAGCAGTCTCTCGTTGGGGTCTGTTTTTATATGATCTTGGGAGACAGACCTGTCCTCGCTTACAGACAACCCCCCAACCTAAAGCAAATACCAGCAACCACACATCACTGAACAAAAACACT